AAAATTCCTAACAAAAAAACCATGTTGAGATTTTTTTGTTGCATCACTGATTGTCAAGATAATTGAACCCAGTCAATGGATGTATTCTTTACTCAGCGAATTTCTCGCATTTTATTACAGAAATACAATTTTCCCGAAAATCAGTCATTATGCATATTATCCCTATTTAACAACTGATATATCATTCCATTTTTCACACCAGTGATTTTCATAAATTTTTGTCGAATTTATCCCGAATCACTTTTTTTATTATCTCGACAATGAGAGACCCCGCCAAAAAAAGGCAAAAGAAATTTTTTATCTTCCATTTAATGCTCTACAAAAAACGTCTCCTGACATTTTCCTCTAAGGCCGCTCATTACCGAGATAATCCCATCATCAACAACCAATTAAAAAAGATGCGAAAATTAGTATAGGAAATTCGCCAATTTCTGCCAATTTATGCCATTCCGAACTAAATTGAAAATTAAAATAATCCGTTGAATTTCACTTGCCTTTCATTTTCATCACTTTGCTAGAATCGAGGCGGGTCCATTTATTTAGCCTCCTCGTAACAATTTCGTCTTCACTAAACAAATGATGGAGGAGCACTCTGATGAAACATTTATTAAAGTTCACTGCAATTTCACATATATGCGCCGGCGATACAACTTTAATGTCGAACTCAACAAGTAATAATTTCATTTGTTTAACAAGGGTATTTCCTTCTTCAGAGGACATGCTTCAATTGATATATTTTAATGTCACAGACATAATTGACTCATAATTTAAGCCAGTTCATTCGGCTGTATCTATAGTGCAAATGAATGGATGAAGACACTCCGAGGAGCCCGAAACGCCAACGCTCACGTATTAATCCGCCGGTGTATCCAGTAAACACTCCGCTAACTTCTGAGAGTTGAATATAACGAGGATTTTTATGTTCCATTGGAACTCACTCAGACGCATGCTAGTCAGCTTCAATGGGCGGCGGGGGAGTGTTTACGTAACAAAATAAATACATCCGAATGGAACTGGGCCGTTGTGATATTCCAATGCAGCGGTTCAATATGTGTTAAAAACAGTTCCCCACAACCAAGCTAGTACGAAATTGTATACATAATTCACCCGAATTCGTTCACCTGAGTTTTCATATTTTTTCCTGAAATCTGCAATGTTGGGGGCCTTTATCATCGAAGAGATGAATCTAATTGAAAATTTCATCGGAAAGGGGATTCTTATATACCACCACTCTATCGTGTTATGATTATATCCCACTTCTCGCATTTCAAAGGAAACCCGGGCTTGCGTGTCGGTAATCTCCGCAGCAATTTCTTGTGGTGTTGTTTACATTCAATAACGTTGTCAATTTCATCAGAAATCGAAGATGATACTTAGGCCAAGCACATATAGGGAGAGCTTGGCAACATCGCACAATGCACACACGGGTCAATTTTAAAGCAAAACTGACCATTTTCAAGACGTCAACTTTTAAAGTTATTTTTTTTAAACATCGAATTAGACCGTGCGGTAATATAGGATAGGGGGGGGGGATTGTAGGGCGACAAAATCGAGCAGCGTGGTAAAATGGGAAAGTGGGGTGAAATGGAGTGTTGGTGAACTAGAAAGGAGGAGCAAAACGGGATAGTATAGCGCGGATTGCACGGGGGTAATTAGATAGAGGGGTGAAACTGTATAGTGGGGCAGATTGTACGGCAGCAAAATCGGGTAGCGGTGTTAAATGGGAGAGCGTGGTTTGGACTGTAGGTGAAATTGAAAGTGGGGGCAAAACGGTATAGCAGCATCATCCTAGAATTGCTTATGGAAGAAAAAGGATTCCCATAATAGCGGAGATATTTAGTTTTTGAAAGATATTTGTTGTTCTATTTTTTTTTAAATATCTGGAATAGCAGAAATCTCAGAATTGTGCAACTTTTCGAACATTTTCACAAATTGACTATTTTCATAATAATCCTTTAGTATTTTTGTTTTTAATTAACAAGAAACCAAAAGTATTTTTTATCAAAATCTCTTCTTTTTTTAATCAAGATTTTATTTTTTATCCTCGCTAGTTTACCTGCAGCAGCAATTTAAAAAATTGAATTGTTGATAACAATTCGGGGGACAATTTTTCGATGAGGTAACCAACAAATATAAATTCCACCCAAGTTATCTCACGGAACCCAAAATTCATACAGGATGAGCGCTGGCGTACGAATATACTCCGATGGAAAACCATAAAATTGAGGTAAATGTCACTCAAATTACCTCCAAACCACCTTAATATCATGATTACTGAAGTATAAATTATTTTTGTCCGTGCCTCGAGTTCATCTTTTTTATTCATACGGAGTCATAGTCATTGACTTCCCCGAATCACTCCTGGCTGGTTACCCTGCCAGTGTTAAGAGATGGGATATTGGCCCAATGGGGACTCACTTTCGTATAATCAAACCTCCCTACTCTGCTAGCGGTCACCCGACGGACGTTAGTGATGCTCGATGCGTCATTACTTCATGAGTAGTAAGCAGCAGCTTAAGTGAGAATAACCCTCATCTCCATTAAAATTTTTCTTTCGAATCAGAATTAGTTCAGTTTCACATTCATTATCGGAATAGTCTGTGCCCATCGACGAACCATATGAGTGAAGTGTCAGTGCATTAATGTATTCATAACGAATCAATTGGAAAAATAAACTTTCCTGCACCCGTCGTATCAGACAACCGCATCTACCTAATAAAGTGCGTGAACACACCTGCTGTATTAGCCGTTGTCTGTTCTACTAAAACTCACAAGTAAGTATTTTCCGATATACATATTCCATATTCCATACTTGAATCTAAATTGAGATACATATATAGGACAGGGAAATGCAACTTTTTTTTTGTGAATGGAGATGGCGGTTTTACTGTTTGATATTGTGAGCAATTTTTCGATTGAATAATTAAATTTGAGTAGGAGAAAATAACCTCGTCAATGACGCCATATTCGAATAACAGTTTGTCATTTGTGTTCGTCATTTGACCTCCAGGTAGAACATGGAACACCACCATTAATCGCGTGGGTATCCCATCATTGAAAGCGAAAATGACATCCCTTGGTAAGGATATAGAGTATGCACTTCTGAGCCCGCAGACACGACACATTGATACATAGTTAAGTGCATCATACCTTATCATAACCGTAGCTCATGTCACTCGTATTGGGCGATGAAATTTCGGGAAAATTAGATTAATACATTGATGGTTATGAGTCGTTAGTGCCAGATATATTTTTTTTTCAATGTAGCATTGAAAATGAAACGAATTAATCAATACAAGCTGATGAGTAGGGCAACAAAATATCGGTTCTTGGGTAAAGTTGTCGCTGACGACTGGGCTTCAATCCATAAGGGAGGGAAGAGTACCAAGATCGTCATGCAAGACGCTATGCCGCCGAAACCATTGCAAACGAGAACAATCCCTTCAGATAGCGATTGCGAAACTAACCCGAGGCGTTACGCCCATCACTAGCGAAAATTCGAAATCTACTAATCACTACAATGATGCACTGAGGGATGAGGCTATCCAACAATCAGACTCCGATGTTGATTCATTAGCTGAGGCTCCGTTATCTTCAGATGACGAAATGCCTATGGAACACGATGGCGTGGAGGTTGAAGTACAATCAGTGATAGTTAACGAAATATACGGGAATAAGACCTTTTCTATACGAGATATTTTGAGAATGTATGCAGTGGAATGTGATGTTATCCACAGTAGTCTCCAGAAATTGTTATTCTATTTGAAACCCTTCCACCCTGAACTGGCCAAGGACCCTAGGACGATCATTAAAGGTCCTACGAAAATAGCCTTTGAAAGAATGAACGCAGGACTCCATTACAATTTTGGAATTGCTGTCATGCTCTGCAGGAAGCTCAAGTCGAAAGTGGGCAATATCCGGGAGGTTACCCTAGACTTTAACGTCGATGGAACGCTGATATTCAAAAGTTCCAATACTGAGTTTTGGCCTATATTGTGTCGTATTCGCGAAGTACCCCAGATTCCACCGTTTCCGTGCTCTGTTTACTGTGGGTCAGAAAAAGCTCCTCTTGATCAATTTTTTAAAGATTTTGTGCCGGAAATGCAGATATTGACGACCGATGGGCTCGAGATTGGTGGGAAAATTATTAACATAATTATTGGCAATTTTATCTGTGACACCCCCGCACGCACATATGTGAAAGGGACAAAAGGGCACACTGGTTATGATGATTGTGATCGGTGTGTCACTCGCGGTGAACATCATGGACGGCTAACATTTCCTCAATTGGACGCTCCCTTGAGGACTGACGACAGTTTCTACGAAAAACGTTGGAGAAAGCATATATCGTAAGTTTCCCCACTAACGGAATTGGGAATAGGAATGATAACTCAGTTTCCATCAGATGCGATGCACCTTGTTTACCTTGGCGTTATGAAAAAACTAATAGTTAAGTGGATGAAAGGTCCAGAAAATACCCATCGAATTTCAGCACAAATGCAGTCGTTGATCAGTCAAAAACTAACGTCATTCAGTACATTATGGCCGAGAGATTTCAGTCGCAAGCCGAGATCATTGAATGAATATCGGCGTTGGAAAGCAACCGAATTCCGACAATTTCTATTGTATTTGGGACCAATAGTTTTGAAGCCTTATCTATCGAAAAGAAAATACAAACTATTCATGTTTTTACACATTACTATTACAATTTTATGTCGCTCAGATCTCTGTAAAAAAAAAAAAATTCATTGGCCCACAAATTGCTGGTAGAATTTGTAACAAAATGTATAAAATACTTTGGAACTAAATTCATCAGCTACAATATCCACGGGCTAATCCACTCTGCAAAGGACGTACTAGACCACGGTCCATATGATTCATTCGCCGCTTTTGTATTTGAAAATGCCCTAGGTGTGATGAAACGCTTGATAAGGGGTAAAAACAAGCCGTTAGAACAATACGTTCATCGTATGCTGGAAAAATCGTCCGTTACACTCCCAGTGGAGACTGAAAACAAAAAATGGGGTATAACAGATAGACCTTTTGAAAGTACACTCCATTCGAAGGGGCCAACAATGGGTTTGCATGGAGACCAATACAGTAAAATCAATTGGAAGGGTACAGTCCTATCCAAGAAGAAGGGAGAAAATACTGTGATATTGCGCGACAAATCAGTGATGGTAATCCAAAACTTTGTCGTCAATGACTCTGGAACGTTTGTTATTGGGCGGCGGTTCACAAGTACGGGTAACTTCTTTGAATTGTCAGTCAAATCTTCGAAACTAGACATCCTACGCGTTGAAAAATTAGCGAGACGGCCAATTTTGTTTTCCATCACAGACGTGAAATATAAATCTCTATTGTTGCCATATGGGGACGGAAAATTCGTCAACCTCTTGAAATTCGAGCTTGCGGAAATTAACAAGACAGACGCCATTTCACTAATAATGGTAAAAGTCGGTGCAACATTACTATTTGACAATTATTAACTATTAGAGAATCAACGTGTTACAACGAATACATATTTTCATCTATTAGATAGCAACCATTTATCCTTGAATGAAAACCTGTGAGTTATAGATAATGTGAAACACTACTCCGCTACACACAAAATCGGTTAAAAACTTTCCAGCATATATATATATGAAATATATATATATATATATATATATATATATATGAAATATGTAACGTGATCATTGACTTAGATTATGTGAGGACATTATATGTCCCTTGAGTGAAATTTCTTAGAATGAACGCGGTGACACCGAAGAGTTTAAAACGTAAGCTAAACGAGACTGAAGATAAATCCGAGCAGGCGGGAGAGAAGACACATTGTGTGGTGGAATATCTGGAAGAGGGTAACACTCACACTGTTCCGTTAAATTGGACAGAAGATTACGAAGGACAAACTTTTGGTTACTGGCCAAATAAGTACAAGAATGCCGAGCTACGAGCAGCGATCCGATCATGTGAGAAGCCAGACGTCAATAAGTGGGATTCTCATTTAATAAAAATCCATTACCGAGGTTAGTATATATTTATCGGAAGAACTCGCGGCCAGTACAATGGAATTGTTTCTGAATTTCACCGAAAATAGAGACTTGGCTGAAAAACATAATAACTCGCTATTGAATCAACAACTTCTTGTCGGCGGTTGTTGTACGTTATAAATTCAATTGTTAGCACCTTTATCTTTTAAATCTCCTTCAGAATTGATCCATCCAATCGTAAAAGAAAAGTCCCATCTTGTAATTATAAAATTTAGACATAAGTATCATATATTCTATGTGCTTTTACTTTTATTCTGTCTATATTTGATATCAGCAATCCAATATATTCCGAATTTTTTACAAGGAACCTTGGCGGATTGCCACAAACGAGAGAAAGCGCTCCTAGATCACGGTAGCAGTTTTGTATCCGAAGCCACCGAGAATCTCGAAGCGATGGAATCCACGGGAGCTGCTCATAAATCATCAAAGAAGAGTTCAGCGCTGACAGGTGAACAAAGATCCAAAGATCTGGTGAACGAGCTTTACAAGGAAGGCCACGCAGCTGATGTTCACGATCAAAGCCTGCTCGCACCTTCAACTAGTGGGCAGTCGGTCCGCTTACGTAAAAAATTGATTGAACCAAAAGACAGTGTACCCCAAAAGCGTGATAATGAACCGGATGATGAACTGAGAGAATTAGAACCTGGATTAACACCGAAGAAGAAGTGCAGAATTTGCTCAAATTTTTGCCTTGACTGCGCTGCCAAGGAAGAAGCTAACGGTGAGTCATGCACACTCTAACCATCATATAGTGTACAGAATTGTCAGGAAAAAAGTTGAGGAGGATCTGCAATGAATAGCTATTTTTTATATGTTTAACCGAGCTGGCTGACAGGTCTGGGCGCCACGTTTTTCATGTAAAGCGCGGGAGCAATATGGCGGCGCCCAGACCTGTGAACCAGCACAGACCTTGGAAGAAAATAATTCTCTGGAGATCATCCTCAACTCTTCTGTACTGGTTAATTTTTTTATACACTAATTGTTTGATCTTATTATGCAACGAGCACGGAAAATTCACGAAACTTTTCCGTGTTCATAATTTTTTTCACCCTCTTCTTCCCTTACTTTGTTTAGCATGCGAGACATATACCCTCACTCTAATCTTTATTTATACAAAGTTTGATTCTACGATTTTACAAATAGGGTCAACACTAATGAGTCAAGGAAGTAACACGAGTAAACATTCTAATAAACCAATTCCTGTAGTGTAATCTCACATTTTCATAACGTTTCTAAATAATTTGGGTATTAAAGTATTGTAGTCCAGTATCGAATATAACAGACGCCAAAACTACACCTAGAAAGCCGAATAGCGAGAATATTTCACAATAAAGCGGCGCGGGCGGCATTAAACGCCGATTATACTTTAGTGCATCAATGGCACATGCATGTCATTTCATTTAATCAATTTTTCCAGAACTTTATCAGCGAAAAGTACTGAGACTCCTTCGTAGAATTCTTGGATAATTGAGCATCGCTACGGACGGTCCCCCTGTTGCCGTCGAGCCTCTAAAATTAGGTGATTTCAAGTTACCACTCAAGACTCTGAAGGCTATTAGGAGACTGGAGGCTTCAATCACCGTTGAGATGGTCCAGAAATTGGTAAGCAGTCACAGCATAACGCTATTTCCTTCTACTCAAAAAACGCAGATTTGTCAATTTTTGGCGATCCAAATCGGAAAAGGGAAGTAAAAGAAGAAGTCGTATAAAATTTTCAAAGTACGAGGAAATGGATGAAAACATTTGGAAATTTACCTGGTTATCATTAGAATTATAAATTGAGAATCTGTAAATCTTCGGGCGATCCGTGGAATTACACTTTTTTATATGACGTGTTAGGGAAACAATTGTTGACGAAAATAACCATTTCTTTCCCACCTGAACATCTCACCTGTGAGTGTTGGAATATAATGACCACATTTCTTCTTCATTGTTAACAGAAAGGAAGGATGACGACTCTGGTTGGGAAAACGCCTTGGCACACCGCTTTGGCAGTAATGCGCATGGTCCTCACTGTTAAGGTTATGAAAAAGCTTAACTGGGATGGAACAAACAAAGGAAAAATTGGGTTTGTGAAAATCGCACCTACACTGGCTGAAGCTATTGAAAGTACGTATGTCGCTGGTGCTCTAGCCAAGTTCCGACCCGAATTTTTGGAACATATTCAAAATAATTGTTTGTACGTCGAATCGGTCAACCGCATTTACCTGTCTAGGAGGTTTTGGAACTACATTGTGAATGTTTTGATGAGAAGTATATCATCTAATCGCCATTTTCATATCAATTCTCAAAAAAATGCAAATTTTATTGATTTGTTGTCGGATATTTGTACACACCCGCGATACATCCATTCGGTTTCAAGTCTCCAGGAATGAACTGTCCCTGTTACATGTCCCCTACTTCAAAAGTTTCACTCAATTCTCAAATCTGTATTTATCTATTTATTTTATGTGCCAGCGAGGAAGCTTATTCATGTCACTACCCTTTTGTTATTTATCCACGGTGGGTAAATTTGGAGAAGATGAGCGGTTGTCCAATTCGTCACAGGATACTTAAGATTCAACGAAGGTGATGAAACTGATATTTGTTTGTAATTTTTCAATAGGTGGAGCAAAAGAAGCGGCTGTGACTCAGTTCAAGCCGACAGACATACGTGATAAACTAAGGCAAGTGCTCGTAAAAGCTAAAACATTGGAAGATACACCACTTCCAGTCGGCCAGGAGATAAATGAAGAAGACGACGATGTCGAAGACGTCGATCTAGCAGACATTGCAATTGACCCCGCCCAAATACGAAACCCCGTTCCCGTGATAGATAACCAACTTCCACCCCTCCGACAGAATTAAAATGTAAAATCCCTGCAGATTTTGTAATTACGAAGAGATCACATAAATCTCTTACTATACTGAACATTATAATTATGATAAACACAATTGCTTTCACCGTGCCCAGCGTTGGAATTGAAAATTATTGGTCCTTGTTTTGCAATGATGGAAAATACATTATTGAGACCAATTTTAATCTGTACTTCTCATAAATAATAGCTTCTTGTCCCCTTTTAAGCTATGAAGAGCCCAATTTTGATCAAAAATTATTATATGGTGAGACATGCACTAGATGCATGCATAATCATTCCATTCAATTGACAATAGGACGGAATTATTTGAGGTCAATACTTGGATGGCGCAGAGTTATAGAAAAAAACCACCAATTATACGTTATTCATAATCTAAATAAAAATTGTAATACATGAATTCCGATAGAATTGGAAATTTTTTTACAACATATAATACCAAAAATTATGCTATTCATGTATGAATGTCAACTTCTCAATCTGGAAGATCGTTGAAAAAACCGTATGAAGGCCTGGGTGGAGTGGCGTTACTTGAGAAAACGTAGATTCGTGTTTACGAAGTCAAAAGTGGTTCAATTGTCAAAAACTCAGTATAGCGCCCAACAGACAATGCAGAACTATGGTGCTAAACTGAGTTTTGGACAATTGAACCACTTTTGACTTCGTAAACACAAATCTACGTTTGCTCAAATAACACCACTCCATCCGGGCCTTAAGGCAATTTATTTTAAAAAAATGGTGGTAATTTATCAAATCAAAATTATAATTGTAATAATACGCAGATCCACCGATCTGGCGGCTTATTGTGGTTTGTGTTTTGTGTGCCACAACAGAACTGTTATGATGACATTCTCCTTGTTTTTAATCAATCTTCAGTCATCTTTTTTTTTCTTAGTATTCTGACACACAAAACACGAAGGGAAATTACCACCCATGCGTGGAAAAATTTAGTAGAAGTAGTTAATACATTGAAAATTAGGGGGCATCCCACAAATTACCAATTATGATTTGCTGACGATGAGAGTGGTATTTCGATCATAACTTTAAGTACATTCTTGCTAAAAATTCACTTCTCCAAAATCTGATAGCATTATTCAATTAAATCATTCCGTAAGATCGACGTCATTATTTTATTATATAATTTATATTGATATCAATTCCCGGTTGGTCTCAATGACCCAGTTCAAAAATATGGAGAATAGCATATTTGATCGTAAAAAAATTGAAATAACACAAGCAATTCATTTTTTTTTCTCTTTTAGCCCGATAAAAAATTCATGAAAAGTATTAGAAAAAAGGGCCTCAAACGTTGCCCTATTTTCACTGCTCCAACAGTAATAATTTATAATATATAGATATTATACATGTCCCGATTTAATATCATATAAGACCAAAAAGTCAAAACACAAAAAAATAAAACAAAATAGATTCCTGTGTTTTTATACTTACCTCTGTTTCTTAAGGTTTATTTAATATTATTGTTTTTAGCCGGATAGTGTAACCAACATTTTTCACAAATAAAACTATCCTGGATTTACAAATATATGATTTTCTTCATTCACATAATAAATATACCTCAATCGATATGACCCCATCAGCTTCGGCAGATTGCACTTTATTAGGTATTAGGATAAATACCTTTATAAGGTATTTATCGGACAATTTATATACGTTTTTAAAAAAAGATTCGGATATGTTTCTGGAGGTTACCTTCATAGAAGGTTTGCGATGAATATTCGAAAAACATTATATGAAACGTACACTGTACATATCATATTACGCATCTCGATAGATGACGGTGAATTCACGATTGATACACGTTGCACAAAGCGTACGTAAAACGCACCACTGAAACGTCAATGGAATGTACAGATAACGCCGGAAAAATTGTAGTTCGAAACGTAACGGACATGTACGAATACATATCGCATGTACGTACTATGTAGCTATTTCGATTGTTCTATAGTCTCATCCAGATATCCCTGGAAGACTTCCCGAATGTATTCAGAATGTATTTACATTCTTGAAATATATACCAGATACGTATAAAAGAGCCATTTTTGCTTCTGGGGTGTGTTCACTCATACGTTCTTTCAAGATCGTTCGGAAATTCTCCCCTGATTTCCCGACCTTTAAGAACAGCGCCTGCGTCAATATGTAGTCACTTTCCAGTTGATCTGCTCTCCGTAGCCAAGGAGTCACATCCGTCGTCGCTGCAATGGTCCAGACGTGATTGCTAAGTAACAATCTACCAATCGATTTAAAATGTAGGCCTGGAGTGTGAACGAACTTATCGACAGTATGCCCTTCCCCTCTTATAACTGGGATCATGCCGACTAGCATGATTAATGTAGAGGCAACTGCTAACAACCCGTAACTCTTGGATTCTCCTTTACATTCCTGCTCCTCCTCCTCCTGAGCCATTCGGCTTTCTCCAAAATTTTCAGGTTGTTCATTAGATACACACGTGATCAACCCAATAAAGGCTCTTAATCGATTGACGTGTACCCTCACTTCTTTGTTCTTCTTCCCGGAACGAATGGTGTAGTTTACATCCGAATTTTTCTGAGTAATTTCATAAGGTCCAAGCCATGGCTGCGTCAGTTTTTTGGACCTTCCACGTCGAACAACCTCATTTTTTAGCAAAACTCTGTCGCCGACGCAGAAATCATTTTCCTGCGCACCTTTATCGTACTGTTTTTTCGCTATTTCTTTCGACGCATTCAATTTTTCCATCGCAACCTGGTGAGATACGCGAAGTCTTTCACGTAACTCTTGTGCGTAGTCATCATACGAGTAAGTAGGTGGCGGCGGCTGCTTCACTGAGGTTGGTAAATCAGCACACCTCCCATACAGTAGCTCAAACGGTGTCCGTTTCGTGGCAGTATGTGGAGTTGTATTGTACGAAAACGCCGCATAGGATAGCCATTGATCCCAATCACCTTGGTCTTCATCTATGAAATTGCGTAGATATTCTGCTAGGGTGCGATGAGACCTCTTAAGAGCACCATTCGTTTGAGGATGATAGGCCGTTGTCTGAATCTTCTTTATCTTGAGCAGACGACAGACATCTTTAAAAATTTCGCTTGTGAAATTCCTGCCCTAATCCATCAGGGATTTCGAAGGCGTTCCGTGCTCGCAAATAATTTTCTCAACGAATGCTTTTGCCACAGTATTTGCCTCTTGATCGGGAATTGCAATCGCCTTACTGAACTTTGTCAATGCATCCTGGAACGTCAAGATTTATTTATTCCCATCCTCCGTGACTGGTAATGGACCAACTATGTCTATTGCACATTGCTCGAACGTCGTCTCCGGAGCTTCTCCAATCTGCATAGGGACCTTAGTTGTTTTTCCAAACTTATTCAGCTGCCATTTCTTGCAGCCTACGACATATTTCTCAATGTCATTTTTCATACCCTTCCATTTATATTTGAGCTTTACTTTCTCGTGCATTCGTTGCACGCCCGGATGTCCTCTAAAAGGGGTATCATGGTATTCCCTTATTATTGTTGGGATGTCCTCAGAATCTGGAGTGACTCTCACTTGACTCTCATCAGGTGTCTCGCACCATTCTTCAGGTGTCTCGGACACCTCTCCAGGTGCTTCGGACTCCTCAACCTCAACAGCATCACCCTCAGCTCCCATCCTAGCCTGCTGACCCCGGGTAATGACGTAAGTTCGACTCAAGGCATCAGCATTTGTATTCAACCTCCCAGGTTTGTGTACGACTTCATAATCAAACTCCTCTAATTTAATTCTCCAGTGCATCAGTCGTGACCCGGGATCCCTGACGTTGAAAATTCACCGCAGAGGTCGATGATCTGTCACGATGATAAATCTTCGGCCATACAAATAGGGTTTGAAATGTTTCACAGCCCAAACGATAGCAAGAAGTTCCTTCTCAGTCGTGGAATCATTNTTCTGCTAGGGTGCGATGAGACCTCTTAAGAGCACCATTCGTTTGAGGATGATAGGCCGTTGTCTGAATCTTCTTTATCTTGAGCAGACGACAGACATCTTTAAAAATTTCGCTTGTGAAATTCCTGCCCTAATCCATCAGGGATTTCGAAGGCGTTCCGTGCTCGCAAATAATTTTCTCAACGAATGCTTTTGCCACAGTATTTGCCTCTTGATCGGGAATTGCAATCGCCTTACTGAACTTTGTCAATGCATCCTGGAACGTCAAGATTTATTTATTCCCATCCTCCGTGACTGGTAATGGACCAACTATGTCTATTGCACATTGCTCGAACGTCGTCTCCGGAGCTTCTCCAATCTGCATAGGGACCTTAGTTGTTTTTCCAAACTTATTCAGCTGCCATTTCTTGCAGCCTACGACATATTTCTCAATGTCATTTTTCATACCCTTCCATTTATATTTGAGCTTTACTTTCTCGTGCATTCGTTGCACGCCCGGATGTCCTCTAAAAGGGGTATCATGGTATTCCCTTATTATTGTTGGGATGTCCTCAGAATCTGGAGTGACTCTCACTTGACTCTCATCAGGTGTCTCGCACCATTCTTCAGGTGTCTCGGACACCTCTCCAGGTGCTTCGGACTCCTCAACCTCAACAGCATCACCCTCAGCTCCCATCCTAGCCTGCTGACCCCGGGTAATGACGTAAGTTCGACTCAAGGCATCAGCATTTGTATTCAACCTCCCAGGTTTGTGTACGACTTCATAATCAAACTCCTCTAATTTAATTCTCCAGTGCATCAGTCGTGACCCGGGATCCCTGACGTTGAAAATTCACCGCAGAGGTCGATGATCTGTCACGATGATAAATCTTCGGCCATACAAATAGGGTTTGAAATGTTTCACAGCCCAAACGATAGCAAGAAGTTCCTTCTCAGTCGTGGAATCATTAATTTCGGCTTTATTCAGTGTCCTGCTTGCGTAAGCGATTGGCAAATCACTTCCAATTTCTCCCTGTGACAAAATAGCACCCAATGCTTTGTTTGATGCATCGGTTGTCAATAAAAATGGCTTCTTGAAATCTGGATACTGCATTGGAGCCGAAATGAGCTCTTCTCTCAAGCTCTCGAATGCGATGCCTTCTCTCTCTCTCCCCATATCCAAGCCACTCCTTTCTTTAATAAATCTGTGAGAGGTTTGGCAATTTTTGAAAAATCTCGAATAAATTTCCTGTAGTAACCCGCCAGTCCCAGGAAAGACATCACTTCCTTCATTGTCCGAGGTACCGGAAAGTTTTTTACTGCTTCTATTTTTGTAGGATCAGCCTTGACCCCTGCCTCCGTAATCACATGACCCAGGTAAACGACCTCCTTCCTCAAAAAGTTACATTTGTCGGGCTGTAACCTCAAGTTAGCCTTCCTCAATCGCTCCAACACTTCTCGTAGACGGTCATTGTGCTCCTTCAGGCTTCCTCCAAAAAGTACGATATCATCAAGATATACAAAGCATCTGATTCCTTGAATTCCAGCCAAGACTGAGTTCATCAGTCTCTGGAATGTCGCCGGTCCTCCCTTTACTCCAAAGGGTAAACGGTTAAATTCGTAGTGCCCAAACGGTGTTGAAAAAGCCGTTTTGCACTTGTCCTCCTCCTTCACTGGAATCTGGTGAAATCCCGACGCCAAGTCCAGTGTGGTAAAATATTTTGCGTTTTCCAGCTGATCCAGAATATCACAGATATTCGACAGTGGGTATGAGTCACCGATCGTGATGTCATTTAACTTGCAAAAGTCCACGACAACTCGCAACTTGATTTTCCCTGAGGCATCGGGTTTTTTAGGAACAACGAGTAATGGTGCGTTCCATTGACGGTTACTCGGTCGAACCACCCCGTTTTTCAGCATTTCCTTGACTTGTCGATCTACTTCCTCCTTCTGCGAATGCGGCAATCGATGTGGTCGAACAGTGACAGGTGCCGCACCTGGAGCAATAGGGATTGAATGCTCCAGATGGTCTGTAACGCCCGGAGGATCCNTCGAATCACCCCGTTTTTCAGCATTTCCTTGACTTGTCGATCTACTTCCTCCTTCTGCGAATGCGGCAATCGATGTGGTCGAACAGTGACAGGTGCCGCACCTGGAGCAATAGGGATTGAATGCTCTAGATGGTCTGTAATGCCCGGAGGATCCTTTGGAAGTTGCACAATGTTGTTGTACTCCTCCAGCATCTCCAGCATACTCTCCCGTTCAATTCGATTGAGATGAGAAATCGTCAGATTTTCGTGAAGAAGTTTTATTCAATCTGTTTTCTTCCTTCTCCTTTGCTTAATTTCTGCATGCATCAGCATTATCGTTTCGGCGGTGGGCAATTCCTCGAATTTCACAATCGGAACGTTCAAGAATACGTCATCCTCAGTGGTATTCATCACACAAACGATTGCTCGACCACCCCGTGGCTTCGTGAGGCATTCACCCAGAAACACGCCCGGTTGTAATTTCTGCTTACGCACAATTCCACTTTTTGTGCTCAACGTTGTTGCCCAGGCCAATGTCTCTGTTCTGGCCTT